CTCGGGGCAACATCCCCTGAGTTGATAATATCGGTGTTAGATATAAAGCATAATCCTGTGAATATAGGATACCTCAGCATAACGCTGCACATAAAATGACTAGCCCACAAGGCCCCGAAATGAGGTTGAAAAAATGCATCAATGCGGGGATCTCCGACCTCGGGGACACACGCGGATTCAATGACCCCAGAGTAGATGGTAAATTGTACGCCATGCAACTGAAAAACAACATTTACAGTCCCCATCATTAGTGGTACTAGAAACCTAAGTGATATAGTTGAGACCTCAGGAGCGGCCCTCAACACTAGGTTCAACTTAGTCCACATCGGGAATGATAGATGGGTCGTACACCCATCGTTCTGGGGCAAACTGTTCGACTTAGAAGATGTTGAGAGCAACGTGACGGCCATCACCAAAAATAAGCAGTATTCCCTCGTCTTCACTGACGACGGCAAGTGGGTGTTGTTTCCCGCTAAAGTAGACTGGTTTCTCAACATTAGGCTCGGCTCCCCCTACGTGTTCACGGAGAACAAAGACAACTACCTAAACAAAGTCGTGAACAACGGAGCCCTGCTCGTGGCTAACGTCCCGGCTCAGAGACGTAGCGTAATCATCAGCCCAGTCACCAGTAATGCAGCCCACATGCTATCGAGTAAACCGGGAGGGCAAGACGGGGCATTGCAGTTGGTGTCTGAATTCGCTGGCGTGGTCAACATCCTGGCGAGCCTACTGGCTAACTCCACGCTGGTAATCAAAGTCTACCTAGGGGAACCATCGCTGGATGAAGTCGAAATCGTGAAGGGTATCAAACTCCGGTGGGTGAAACGGCACCAGTATCAGGTTTGCACTGCTTACGTGCGGGTGGGTGGGTGTCGACTCCCACACCAGTCTGCAGGGGGTCACCGTGACCGTGGAAGACACGATATCACTCACCAAGATCTTCTTACCTGACAACATACACCTCATGGGGTTGAAGTGCACCCCTGAGAGATTTTCAGAAAAACAGTTGAAAATTATCTCGTAAAAGTAATATAATAATGACTAGTCATCGTCCCAACATCATGCTTAACAACCTAGGGGACACGGAGGGGTTTGATCAGCCTGGTGAGGAAGACACCTTATACATCCTGCACTTGAAAAACAATGTGTACGAGAGGGTGTCGTTATCAGATTTTAAAGAGCCTGAATGGTTAGTCAACCTAACCCTCACCTCACCTTATATCTCCTTGAAACAAAATAATACTATCTCCGAGATTAGGAACAAAGGCATCATTCTCGGGTCGTTCATTCCGGATTCTAGTGCACAAGTCATACGAATACCAGCCACTCGGGCAACATGTTAGCTTCAAACAGTGGGGAGGTAAAGACAGAGCTCAAATTACTTGATTACCAACAGGATTTTAGAGATGTCGCGAAAAACTTCACACTCATCATAGACGTCTATCTCGGAGAGAGGCATTGGCCCAGGAGGTTTATTAAACTTTTAGATGATATTAGGTTAGGTTGGGAAGACAGGCATAAAAACCAACGTTGCCGTATTATTAAGGTATCGGGAAACATACCATTAGCAAGCCTTGATGGAGTTTGTGTCCTAAATGGAAGTAGAGCTGAGACCACGATTTTTTACACGCAAGATAATCTAAGTATTATCAGCTTTAAGAACATTAATCGAAGGTTAAATGGAACCCAATTAAAATATCTATTGTAATATATATTATAGGATGGGACTGTACCCAGTCGTAGAGGAAGTCGCGAAGACCCTGGAAACCGTAGACAGGTTCCGCTTGAGACAGTTATGTGATGTAAAACGCCAACTAGAACAAGACCACAACACGCGGAAAGCACTATGTAAGAAGTACCGTAGAGCTTTAAATATCGTGGACGGGACTGATACTGCCCTTACGACAACCAGCATGGGACTAGGGGTGGCAGGTGTTGGGTTGTTAGCCACTATCGTGGCCACACCTATAGTGCTAGGCATTGAAATAACAGCTGAGGTGGTAGGGGTGGCAGGGTTGGTGTTTAAGTTTGCATCCCGCAGACTGCATTGTAAGGCGTTGAAACACGACGAGATCAGGGTTCTGGCCGAAGCAAAGCTGAACATGGTAAGTGAGCGTATTTCCACGGCACTCACTGACAGTAAGATCTCAGAGGAGGAATTTCGTTCAATCCTCTCTGGACTCGACAAGTACCGTAAGATGATACAAGAAATCCGGTCCAAGTCTCGTAAGTCTGCTATCAGCGAAGACAAGAAAAAAAGTACATAGAACAAGGGGTACGGAAAGCCCAGCAAGCCTTTATTACGAACACCAAAGAGATCATAGGCGATTCACATTAAACTGTTTCATCGAGGTCAACGCGACAAAGTGTCAAGTGCTAGTTTGCGGCCATAGTGACACTATTGTGTCACGTGGGGGTCGGGAAGTTAACTGGGGGTTCAAAAGTAGTATATACAATGGGGGCGAGATCTAAGGGCCTGACAAAAGCTTTATTTGTGAAATAAAGCTTTACAGAGGCTTTTGTTGGACTTGGTCTCGGACCTCAGTACACTCTCATCCGTAATGACAATAATAAATGGGTTATTGTTACAGCACCCGTTGGTAACCTTGGAGATTTAAACAATTTTGAGATTGAAGTCTCTTTAAAAAGCACATTGCATAATCTCATCCGTGCTGATGATAATAAATGGACGATGATCTCGCCAAACATTGACTGGTTACTGAATATCAGCCTCAGTTCGCCCTATGTGTTTACCGAGAATAAGGATCATTATTTAACTAAAGTAAAAAATCATGTGTTTATACTCGGGGCATCACATCACAAAGAAAGAGTGTGCTCGTTAGTCCAATAGCGGATTAACCAGTTCATATGCTAGCTCGTCGACCGACGTTCCAAAATACTAGTTTACAGTTGGCTGTTGAATTCGAAAATGTGTTAAATATTAGAAACGATGCCGCAAGGTTCTATACTTTATGTTGAAGTCTTGCTCGGGAATGTACCAATAGACGATGTTAAAATTTTAACGGGGGTAAAACTTCGTTGGTTCAAAAAACATCAATGGCGACGTTGTGCGTTTTATGTATATGCAGAAACAAGTTCTTATACAAGTCTCGATGGGGTCACTGTTACATTGGATAAAAGACTTTCGCTCACTAAGATTTCTTTTCCTAATAATATACATCTAATAAGCTTAAAGTTTACACACGAGAGATTGTTGGAGAATCAGTTCAAGACTATTTCATAATATATATTATAATGTGGGATATTCCAGGAAAACATCGCCTCAGTAAATCCGCTACAATTGCAATCTCCGATCTCGGAGACACAAGGATTGAAGACACGTTATACGCCTTACACGTAAAAAGCCATGTTTACAATCGAAAAGAATTGACAGTACCTAGTCTAGCAGATTTAAAGGATGTCGACATTTCGTAGGCACTGACGATGACAAATGGATAATACTCGAATCTAGATTTGACTGGATAAGAAATATTACCCTTACCAGCCCATATATTGTTATAGATGATGATCAAATAAAACATAATGGTATTATTTTTGGATCTTCAACTCCGAAATCTAAGGTGATAAAAGTTAAACCAATACCAAATAAAACAAGCTATATGTTAACCCCTTGGCACGAAGAGCTATTAATATTTAAAATAATGCTACTTACTTCTATAGTTCTTTCTGTAGTCAGCATTTAGAGATGGGACAAGGCTCAACAGCTATGATTGAAGTCTTTCTTGGAGAAGCCCTCACAGAAGATGGTTCACCTGCGATTTATGAAGAAAAACAGCAAGAGTTATTAAACTTTTTGATAGGTTAAAATACGCTGGGTGAAAAACATAAACATCAACGTTTCCGTATTTATATACGACCAGGAACAGACACCTTTAAATGCCTCTTAGGAGGTTATTGTTATTGAAACACCTTTCATTTCCCATGAAAATGTGAGCCTATAAGTATTTGCGTTCCAGCTGAAGCTGAATGGCATTGATGATCATATCTCGGCAGCGCCATCCGATAGTAGAATATCCGATGAAGAGTTTAGTTTAGTGTTGTGAGAACTCAGAACATACAACGCAATGAAAAGAAGAGAATCGAACAACGCCTCGTAAAACCAGTGGTATCAGCGAAGAACCGACAAAAAGGTTCATAGAACAGGGGAGAGAACACGTCCGTGAAGCATTCCTTACCAAAACCAAAGAAATAGTAGGAGATTAAAGATGAAATGTTTACTAAATTGTATTGATTTGCAACTGAGTAGCTGTTTGGATGATAGATGCATGGGGTGCATTTATATTAAGTATATCTTAAAAGGGCATTGTCTGAATTTAAAAAAACAAAAGACTCTATTAGAAACGAACTAGTTTTTAGATTTTAATGGGGCAATTATTAAGGAAACTGGAAAATATCATAGGCGCGGCTAAATTTAAATGAGTTTGCATTATCTCATGCGAAACTTCCGATGCTTTATGCTTTGACGTTAAGAAAGACCAGACAATATACCTTTTTTCATGGGGTTTTCCCCGTTAACTCCCTCCCACCGTGTCTAATTTGTACTGCAATTGAAGTTCGAACAAATGATGGTGTTGTAAACTTACAATCACCGTACATGTTAAAGGTATTTCGTTAGAAACGCCCGTTTTTCAATGAAGGCGCAACACGGCAACGCGTGGGCTTCCCTCAGTCGTTACATGTCGCAAGTTGTCGCAGCGCACACTGAGTCAGGAACCAGACCGGAAGCAAGAAGTTGAACTGTCGCTAACATCATTTCAAAAGGAAAGTTTGTCGCCCTTCGGAACAAAAAGATCGCTAATTGTGAAACGATTAATTTGAAACTGGTAACAACAATGAAAGACGTTTTCGTATTTGTGTCACATATTAACTTGAATAATCTGTTTTCCCTTTAGATTGCCTGGCTATACCCATGAAAGACAATGAAAGATTTTTTCGTGTTTGTGTCACATATTAACTTGAATAATCTGTTTTCCCTTTAGATTGCCCGGTTATACCCAACTGTGCAACACAGCGTTGTGAAACCTGTACAACATGCAAGCCGCGCTTGAAGGATGTTTTCTTCAGATTATCTCCAAATAAAAGAAGATGTCAGAGTGAGTTGGTGTTTCATGCACATACATTGAGTGACAGGTAAAAGCAGAATCAACCACATTCTATGGGATCTAAACTTTAAACCTATGAGAATCCTTAGAGATAACATGTATCGATGAAAATATAACTGCGCTGAATGCCGTATACATTATTAAATTTAAAAAAACCTGATTATCCTAAAATGTTATGTCCAATTCAGTGCATTTGTGTCTTGTTTCGTCACAGGATGTCCTGTCATTCCAAACTGTAAGACACAGATATGTCGGACATGTGCTGCTTGCAATCCATCCACTCAAAACGCCTTCTTCGAACTATCTGCAGACAAAACTGAGTGTTCACGTTTAAATTTATATATGACCATGTTGTACGTTTTGTTTGGTTTAATTTGCTATTGTGTGTATATGTGATGTATACTTTTCAGTTGTGTTGCCGTCCTTCGTTGTTTAATATTTACTATCAATAACTATAAATCTATAATTTAATTTGGTCACGACATGGCTGACATATTTCCGATGTGACTTAAAATATTCACTCACTGTTTCCACTTTCTAACTAACAGAGCATAATTGTCGCAATTCCCAAGAGAAATGCAAACCATGAGTCATATTTTTAAGTTATTTAAGCCTATGGTAGTATCTACAGGTACTGTAAGTCCCCATGGTCCCTAGTATGGTGATCTATCTTCAGTTGTTGGCGATCAATAGCCCATTTTTACATTGCATTGTCCAAATACTTTTCTACTTTTAAAGATATATGCTAGCTTGTTTTAACTCTTTTGTGATAATCTGGTATTTTTACTTTCCTTCGTTGACAGGGTGTTCTAAATTATATGTATTTGACATGAATTTAGAACTAGTTTTAATCACAAAATCAATGCAATACTGCCGCTGTAACTATGAACTTTAACTCACCCACTCATATATTCAAGTTTTAATCACGAACGTATTTTTGGCACATCTATATTTATCATATAACTATTGAATTAAAGTGAATTGAAGCAACATCCTTCAGAAATATATAAAAAGTCATCAAATGTTTACACAAATATATTAATATATAGAAATGTGCTCAAGTGGAAGTTTACAAATCATTTTCATTTTAACACTCCACACTCAATGCCGTTGTTTACAGTGTTCATTTAGTATATATTAGTGTTGCATACTGGAAATCCGGTCTGTAAAACATGTTAACAATATTTGTACAAGTGGACGTGGTTTCGTTAACCAATTCATTAGAGTATAATGAGAACAGAAACGGACTAAGAGCACAAACTTGTCGTACACGTAGGGGACCATACAAAAACTTGTACGCACACAGGTTTTCACATGCTGCTACAAATACTGCAACACTTCCTCCATGTGTGAATTAAGTCCATTCGTTTTCGATTTATACCAAATATTTTCATCTCTTGTCAGAATGTAAGCATGTCCTTTTCAGTGTTTATTAATTTGACGATTGCTCAATGAGCATACTGAGTATTGATGCTTGGGGAAACTAAATGTTACAGTTAATCATACTTATTATTAATCTATTCTTTCCCTGTGGGTAGTGCTTTCACGTTGATGGAAGAAAGTCACTCAACTACTCCATGCAGTCTATGATGAGAATGTCCTGTGATGACGTTAAGTGAGCTCTACACATGATAATAAATTTTGAAATTGATACAGTTACAGTTTGTCAAAAATGTATAAAGTGTATTTATATAGATATACGCGAGGAAAGGTTCACTTGGGGGAAAACGTTGAGCACCCCTACATGTTGACCACTCACAGAAATATGTTCGAAGTAAGGTTGTGTATGATGACACGTATGCAAATAATGATAATAATGTTCATTTAAGAAGAAGTTATAGCAAGTGCACTTGTTAGAAAGTGTCTCCCAATTACACCCGTGGAGCATGTCTAGAAACAAACTCACGAAGATTCATGGAATACAATGTTCAATCATTTTTAGACAAAAAGATGGTGGTGTGGCATAGCTTTTGTTAGACACTCAAGAACTGTATAATAGGTATATGAGGGATGGTTGCTGAGATGTATGAGGGCACTACTTTGGATTTACGCTCATCTGTCAGCTACCATGGACGTTTTTGCTGGGTATATGAAGTCTTTGGTGACTCAAGACATTTCGTTAATATTATAGATTTGTGTCCCAATCGTATTGTATTAGAAATCTGTACTGTCATTCATTGCAACCCTCTTTTGTATTCAGTATATAATTGAATGTTATAGTCTCGTTTGTGTTATATTTTGTTGGTTTAAAGGGCACTCACAAGCCATTTATCACAGTTATTTCTAAATCGTAACAAAAATTTGGGGCTTGTCGGGGATAACATTCACTTGACATGTGAGACTTTTTGTGAAAAATGTATTACAAATTTCTGCATTTTTGCAAACAAGTTGTGATACCAGCAAAATGGTGTTTAAACTTGAGAATTTTCTAGAGTTCCCGTCCCATGAGACAGTCAGGGACTTGCGCAAATCAGATTTATTGCAAATTTCTGCACATTTCAAACTTTAGGCCAAACCTGCTATGAGGTAATTTCAAATTTTGAAAGTTGTGTTGAATCACTATATTGATGAGGGAGTTTTTGGATATGAAGTTTTGGAAGTGGTTAAAGAAAAATATTCCCACCATTTGGAAATGGAAAAAACTTTAATTACAAATTCAAAAAGAAGAAATGGAACTAAAAAGGTTAGAAATAGAAAAACAAGAAGCAGTATAGGAAATAGCGGCCCGATGACAGGTCCCTATAAGTTATATTGTTTGCGAACTACCGCCCCTGCCGAGTAAAAACATATGGATGCATGATGGCGGTTTATCATTTGACAACCGGAGGTATGCCGGAGGTATATGCAAAATTTCACGAAAATCGGTCTAATCGTTTAGGAAATATTAACTTTTTAGTGAGCATGGGGTCGGACGGGTGAAAGGCTAACTATCCAGCGTATTGACGTGCTTGCTATGAAGTAGCGAGGCAAGGTCTGTCTGAAGCTAACCAGATAGCAGCTCTCGATAGTAGGTCTTTGATGTCCATTCGGTTGACGTACATTTTCATGGACCATATCGGATCGGTAGCATGTTTTCTGTTATCACCCTCATCAAATGTTCTCGTCACGATATGGCTGAAATATTGCCGATGTGACGTTAAATAATAACTCACTCACTCACTCACTGTTATCACCCTCATGTTCACACGGCTGGTACAAGTACCTAACAATGACATGGTCCGGTAATTTTTTCAATTTAGTGCGACGTGTAGGTGGTGCGGACGATTCGGCAGTGATAGATCTCATTTTGACGGCTTCGACGGGTCTTGCGTCCGGGATCGATTTGAAAGACGGCAGGCCAGGTTAACCGACTGCGTTTGGAGATCCGTTCGAGTGCTTTGGCAACTTTGAATCTTTCGTCGTCAACGCACCGGTTCGGCTTCTTTGTAGCAATTGGCGACACCCACAACTGTCAGGGCATACTTCTACGTTTTACATCTCACCCTATCGTGGGGTGCTTGATGCGCTTGATGCACTTGAAATATCAAATTTCCTTTTCGTGATGTAACAGTGTGCCGGCAGGTAGACTTGCCAGAGAGCCTGTTTGTTTAATCCAAGCTTTAGCGGCATCTTCGGAAACTCTTGTGTCCACACCCTTCCAGTAAATTTTCTCCATTACTAGTTTGATTATTGTTTCCAATTATTTAATACAAGTGTGTCTGTTCGCGTACGTCATTTCCATGGGAGACAGCAACGTCTTGTTGATTCTCAGACCGTATATCGCGTGTTTGTTGATTCTCAGACGACGTATTTCGCGATCAGCATGCCCACGCATTCGTCCTTCATTTGCCGACAATCCTTTTGTTGACTTGTCTGTCCAGTGGATTGCCTTTGGGATAATCGTTGGTGTCGTACAGGTGCATGTGTTCCGACATGTCCTCGTACACGTCCTTGGTACGAATTTCCATCAGCAGCGAATCTGTGTCCATGTACAGCACTTCGCATAGATCACCATACTGCGTTTTGAGTTTGTTGTAATAAAAGTCATACATCAGGGGTTTGGATAAATCTAGGATGCTCAACCCCACGTAAACAGGCCGGTTGAATTTGATGTGGCTTTTGTTCATGTGCAGCGCCGCCAAGTCACTGTCTGATATCTTGCTGAGGTTGAATGCCTGGCTGGCTATCAGTTTTTCATCCTCATGAGCTCAGACTAACTTCACACTGACTCGTTTTCGCAGATTTTCCATGGTTTTGATGAACACCGAGTTGTTCATGAGTTTTTACAGATTTTTTTTAATATCGCTGGTGGCTAGATTTCACAAATGCATGTTCATTCAGATGTGCGGCTCCATCCACGGATGTTAATCGAATTTCAACACTAGGTGTATTTTCTTCAGCTTCATTCCCAACGACATGTACGATGTAGTGCACGATGTACTTTTTCTTGTTCATCAAGTTAGGCACGAGTTTTTCAATCTTGGCCAGTTTACCTTTTTTGCCCTTTAGCTGGACAGCCAGTCTTGATTCACCGCCAACCTCTCGGGAGCCAGAGGGTAGCTATTGTGCGGCCGATGTAACTCCACGGGACAGTCCAATTCCACTTCGATGTTCGAATCCATAGCGATGCTCGCGACATCGATCGTGTCACGGTCAGTCCACTCAATCTCCCGACGGGTAAAGACTGGCTCATACAGGTTGTTTGCGTCGAGGTAGAGTATGTGTTTGGTCGGTTTGCTCGAGTAGACATCCACATGATTGTTGTTGCCTTTGGCGTACCCCTTGGCGGACATCTAAACCCCACCTCGCAGACCTTTCTCGATAAACAGGTGCATGTCATAGTTGGTCAAAAGTTCCAATTCCAAGTCTTTTTCAACAAGGCGTTACCTTCTTTCGTCGAACTTGGACCAGTCGTCCATGTATTCGTACGGATAAACACCTTTTCTCAGCAGCAGAGGCCGAGTCGGTGTATTGATTGGCTAGGTGGAAAGCTTTGGGCTCGTTAGCTTTCTCAAGGTTGTCCAGAGACGACACCACAAACTGAAAACTGTCTATGAATTTCAGTCTGCCCAACCAGAATGAGATGTATTTCCCCATGTTGTGGGGAATGCTTTTTATGTTGCCTTCCATTTTCGAGATGGCTTGCATGATGAGGTGCGAATCGTATCCGTGAAGGTTGTGCAGCACCATGGGGATAGGTATGATTTTGGTATTAATTTTCAGTTTGAAGTTGCACGGCTTGTGTGCAGTGCTTCTGTAATGGCCGTTGATGTGATCTCTCAACGTTAAGGTGTTGTTTGCACACGTGGAAATGAGTGGCGTTCTTATGACCTTGCAAGTCGCCCTATT